TGGATGATTTGCTCATGCCTGAACAGTTTTCAAATGCTGGACTTGAACAGCCCAATTCACCCATTACTATGGTAACAGTACATCCTGATGAAGTTTTGGGTATGAACAAAGGGTTTTCCACACCAACTTCCAGCTTTCATTGTCCACCTACAATGGCTCAGCCAGTAAAAGCAGAGAGCTCATCACTTTACTCTTTGCTTGCTTCTTCGTTCCCTCCCCAAGGTGGAGGTTGGAGAGATCCACTTCTCACATCATCCTCCCTGCCAGGACAACCACCCAACCAGCAGCTGGGCAGCATAGAGGAATGCCCAAGCTCAAATCAGCAACAGAATATTTCTCAACAGCAACAACAGTGCTCAAACCATTCTTCTGGTTCTACTTCAGCACTACAGGAACTATTGCTTCGTTCCCCATCAACTCCTTTATCACCACATAGTGTGTCCTCCCAGGGGGCCCCATCACCTCAAGAACCTCCTATGGGGCAATCTGTACCAAGGCCCTCTTCCCTCTCGGCTGCAAATCCCCTACTTTCTGCAAGGTTGTCTTCATCAGCACCAACCCACAACTTTTCCCTGGAGCAAGCTTGGCAGCGAAGGGAGCCTAGACAGCATCTTTTGTCAACTGGGTCTTTGGCTGAAGAATTTGGCGGTTCAGCTTCTTCTCTAAGTACAGGTAGGAAAATGTAATCTTTGGTTGGATAGTTTTGTTTTCCCCATTAAAGGATTTACAGAGCAAACATGTTGCTTTTTGGTGTTACTATAGACTGTGTTGACAAATGTGAATAATAAACCATCCTCTTTTACATTTATCCTTATGCTGAAAAGGTATGTGATGTAAAGAGTAATAGATAAATTTTTAACAGAACTTCTTGTACTTTCGTTGCAGTGGGAGGCATCCTGTCTCCAGCAGCACATGATCTCTCTATTGATGATGCAGTTGATTCTGAGGATGAGTCTGATAATGAACACTATGACTCAGAGTCAGATAATGGTATGTTGTAAGGTTGAAAAGTTAAGATGAATTTCATATAATTTTTATACAAGTTTATTGCTTTGTACTGTGAAAAAAAAATGTTTTATGATTCCTGATATGTATTCCAGATTCAATAGTTAGTGAAGACACAAGCAGCATCTCAGGTTCGAGTGGGAAGAAGGAAAGGTACTTCTGGCAGTATAATGTGCAAGCCAAAGGACCAAAGGGACAGCGTGTGTGCATAAGCCAGCAGCAGCGTGACCCACACAGCCTGCCATCAATCATGGATCCGGTGTTCTCCCCGCTCTGCTCAATTCAAGGAATAAAACACAGGTATTGAATTAAATTATAGGATTTGAGCTTTGGGATTATCTCAATGATAATTTTGGCTAAGTCTGCAGAGTTTAGTTAGGAGGCTTATAAATTCCCTTTTATTGGAGCTATTATTACAAGAGGAAAGTAATATTGAAAGAATAGTATGAAATTGGCTTGAGTAAGCAATTTATTAAAAAGTAAAATGTTGGATATCCTTACAGTCTGATAAGCAGTCAAATTGATTATTAACTCCAAGATAATCATTTCTGTTAATTACAGTCTATAAAGAAATAGCTTGTAGATTATATTTTTAAGTTTTTATTGTAGTTTCAGTAGATCTGTATTACCAAAAATAGGTCAGATTTTATTGCCACCAGTTTATCTCTAACACACAGTGGAAAGGCCCGAAGGGGCGATGGAAATGACCTGACGCCTAACCCCCGTAAATTAGTGAACATTGGCAGAGAACTCGACAAACTGAACAAGGTATTGTATACTTCATTTTTAGCATGAGTAACACTGTACTGATAGTGAAATTTGAAGATAGGTTGGTGTCATTTTGATTTGAATTTCAGTAGAAATAAATTGGTATTATCAGCTTGCCATAGCATTTAACTAGTGTAGATACTCTACCAATTGCTGAATGTATGAATTTTATCTTTCAGACAATAAATGACTTAACACCTGTATCTGAACTCCCATTCAACGTGAGACCCAAGTCTAGAAAAGAGAAGAACAAATTGGCATCGAGGTTAGTAATGTTTTTATTTAAACTTGTAATGTACAAAATATAATATTTCAAAGTGAGTAAGTAGAGGATATCCTTCTTGTAGATTCCTTAAGAACTTGTTATGCAAGTAATTATGTTTGATTTTTCTGCATTTTAACCAGTTCCTCACAGGTAAAATTTCAAATAATACAGTTAGTCCCCAACTTAAGAACATAATGGGGACCGAGAGGCTATTTGTAAGTTGATTTGTTTGTATGTCGAAAGTTGGGTCTCCATTACCTTTTTTGCCATTTTCTAAAGTTTTGTTTACATTAAGAATACCTGCAAATGAATCCCAATAAGTACGACATACCTTATACAGTACCTGACTCTTGAACTATATTTGCACCCAGGAAATTAGAAGTTTGCTAGCATCTTTCAAACAATTTTTTGGACTCTAGTACTTAAAGAATTTTGTTTGTATGTATGGAATGTTCATAAGTAGAATGTTCTTAAGTAGGGGACTATCTGTATTTAGTAATGCTGGGTGCCTGGGATGCCATCCCTCTGGGCTCATGATAGGCATTACTTAGTGCGAATAAACATAAAAGAGGCTAACAATTCATCCCCTTGTTCTCATTTACAAATTATCACAGAGCCTGTCGCTTGAAGAAGAAAGCCCAGCATGAAGCAAATAAGATCAAGCTGTATGGCTTGGAGCAAGAGCACAAGGGAATGCTTCTGCTTCTGGAGGAGGCTCGAGGAAGTCTGATCAAGAAGGTAGAGAGTGGAGGGACTGCACACATGCCTACCAATCATCACCAAGCCCTGCCAGGCACTCCACCGCAGAACCATCCGCTGTCTGTATCACAGCATATTGAAAAAATTGCCAAGTTAAGGAGCAGTAAGTATATGCTTATATTTGCAGCTTTTTCATTCCTCTGTTGTACTTCCACTATCCATAAAACAATGCATGTGCAAGTTCTGTGATATAGTTCTGTGAATGGCTTTTCACAAGTTGAATATATTGTACTTTGCTATGCTTGAATCTTCATAAATAACAGTACTACCTTTTTGTTTATTTATTTATTTACTTTTTATTAATTTTCTTATTTTTTTTTATGATTGTAAAATTTGATGGATGGCTTTGCAGGCAGAATCAGCAAAAATAATGTATTCTTGTATAAATAATAGTATCTGTATAGGATTGTTTTGAATATCTCTTAACTGTTTTTTTGCCTCCACAGAACTCCGGATTGCTGGCCATACCACTGAGTTTGTGAATCGTGTCATTGAAAACTGTCAGAATGGAGATCAGAGTGGAGGACTGGAAGAGATAACCAAAACCTTCAATGACACCAATTTGGCTGCCAGTCCCACATCCAATGGCAACAATGGATTTTCACCTCGCTGAAATCTCCAAGTGGAAACACATGTTGGTGCAGATTGAGGTGCTTGGAGCCACCCAAACTCATGCACCCACAACTATGGCAAGAATACACCATCTCTTCAATGCTTCACAAGGAATTGCTGTATTTGCATTAATCCATGACTTGCATACATGGATTCAGTAATATGCACTGAGGCCATAGCTTCGCAAGCAACAAGCTTTAAGGAAATTTTAAAAGTTGAAAGTGTAAATAAGTAATTTGTACAGAATTAACCCATATACTTTACCCAAAGCAACTGCTGTAACCAGTGGGGCGATGGATCCCCCCAATAGTGGGAAGCCAAAATTATAGTTAGGAAAAAAGGATTGGTAGATGTTAGATGATGATTGTGATATATTCATCCATCAGTGATGAATGGTACAGATATAGAACTAGCTGCATTCTTTTTAGAAGGGAAATGAGTTAGTGAGGCTTTGCTTTTTTGCACGAGACGTAGGCTGTGACAGTCAGAGGAACGATTGAATTGCTACAAAACAAAAATGTTATTGTTAAGTTTTTTCTTAACAGATCCTGTAAAACCCCTAGGGCAGTATTGCACTATGTAATTAATCCTTAGATTTATTATGTTGGAAATTAGTCCAGGTTCAATCAGTGTGGAAAACCAAGGCAAACTCTTCACAGATAAGGTACTCTTTGAGGGTTCTACTGCCCTGAGGTCCACCAACGCTTGTTCATTTGGTTATTACTATTACCACTGTGAAAGTATTGTTGTGCATTATAGAGTCTGTGAGAACAGAGCTTTCTCTAATACATTATATAGAATATTTTTGTTGCAGCTTTGGTGTTTTGTTTATATAGATTACATAATTTTTATTAATTTTTAAGTGAAAAGTGTATGTAAGTTGGTCTGTAGCATTCCTGCTGGTTGATATTTATGATATAAGTAGTTTTAAGGTAATATTTGATAGACACTTTATAACAAGAAAGTAGAAGTGTATGTTTCTGTACTAGTGTAAAGCTTGCCATAGATTTTCCATTTTCTAAACAAAATGAGAATTTATATAGCTAAGATTGTTGTGCAGTATTTATTCTGCAACCGAAGCCTATAATCATGACATGTGTTGTCTGTGACCCCCATTTATTGCTCTTCAGCAGGACTAGGTACTCATTCTCTACAGAGTTTATCCAGGCTGACATGATAGTTGTTTGTCTGAGGGAATAGCAAGAATTTTAAGTAAAACATATTCTTTTCTGAATAGAAATGTTAAGTTTAATATACACATATAGGTTTTAAAAGCAACACCTTGTTTTGAAAGTGTATGCAAAATGAGAACTGTGTGATGACATGGAATTATTGTGCAGAATGTAGTTAGTATGTTCCTCATTATGTAATCCATCAATATCTAGCCTTGAATAGAAGGAATCAAAGGCAGATCTTTTGAAGAAAATTAGCACAATGTTTTAATTTTCGCTGTTTGGAGGATTTTTAAATTTCATTTTAGAGCATTGATATATTAGGCTGAATAAAACTTTGCAGCTTAATGCATTTCAGGGCATTAGCTTAGTGTTTGTCTAAAACAAGTTACTTTTTTTTTTTTTTTTTTTTTTTTTTTTTTGTTAATATACAGTTACTCCACATAAGATAATTTGATGACTTATTCAGTGGATAATAATAAAAAAAAAAAATACTCCAAATGCAATATGAATACTAAGCATTAAAGCAAAGACACTTTTATTACTTGAATATGGAATATAGGTTTCTATCTGACTAATTATAATGTTATAGAATGTAGACCATGGATATTAGAGTAAAATGGTTTCATTTGCACAATGAATTACCCTCATGTTTAATTTTTTAATGCGTTATTGGCCTTTGCAATGAGACAAGGCTTAGTTCTTTTCCCTTTTTTGTTTTGATAAATACAATTTTGAAACTGGGAACTTGAGAGAATGTATGGCAGACAAAACTAGCACGAAATGGCTGAGTTTGTGTACCTGATAATGTAGGTTTTTTTTTTTTTTTTTTTTTTGTTAATATACAGTTACTCCACATAAGATAATTTGATGACTTATTCAGTGGATAATAATAATAAAAAAAAAAATACTCCAAATGCAATATGAATACTAAGCATTAAAGCAAAGACACTTTTATTACTTGAATATGGAATATAGGTTTCTATCTGACTAATTATAATGTTATAGAATGTAGACCATGGAATATTAGAGTAAAAATGTTTCCATTTGCACAATGAATTACCTCATGTTTAATTTTTTTTCATGCTTTATTGCCTTTTGCAACTTACATATATGGTAATGTATGTTATTTAGGAAGGCTACCTTTTTTACTTGCAGTCTCTCAGAATGAGACAAGGCTTAGTTCTTTTCCCTTTTTTTGTTTTGATAAACTACAATTTTTGAAACTGGGAAATTGGAGAATGTATGGCAAGACAAAACTAGCACGAAATGGCTGAGTTTGTGTACCTGATAATGTAGGTTAGGTTAGATAACCCGGTGCCTGTCTAGTCGCACTAATATTCAAGTAAACACATGAGTCTATACAAACATGTTTTGCTCTATTAAAGTGGTTTCTGCTTCATAAAAGTAAAAAGAGTAAATGTTTTTTGAAATGAGAATTAATAGGGAAGGGAGACTTCATATGGAAGTTACCACTAAAAGATTTTGAATCTGCAGAAACAGAGCTGTTGATATGCTGACTAAGCTGACATTTCTTATGGAAAAAAGGATTGTTTACTAGTTGAGCAACGCATGTGTGTCTCATGTGACTTTATTTGTCAGACTTCTCTCAAGAACACTGAGGATATAATCCAGCTATGTATATTGTAATTGAACTACAGAAAGAATTCTTTTCTAATGATTTTTTTTTTTTATAGTTTATTGCAGAATATAAAGATTAAGAGCAAAGCTTGTTAAATATCTTCAGATCTTTCTCAAGGGAAGAGAGGTGTTTACACAATTTCCATTTTGAGTACTGAGGCAAAAGTTGAGAAAGTCTAGTTTCTTTTCCCATTTTTTTATTTATTATTATTATTATGAAGTTTTTGATTCTAGAGGAACCAGGGTTATACTTTTTGTTTATATTTTGATATAAAGAAATGGCACCTGTGTTATATTTAGTGTGGCAAACTTTTGTGCATGTTAGCCCAGCACTGGTGTAGTATTGTGATTTTTCAGAGTATTGTAGTACATTGTAATGTTGCATTACTGTAGCAGTGCTTGGACAGAACTGAACACATTAACTATATTGTAGGACTGAACTCTACAACGAGAGACAAGAATCATGCTATTTGTTGTTTTATCTAAAAGGTTGTAGCTTTTTTTTATTATTCTATTTTGTTATAATAGTTGAGTTTAAAAAAAAATTATGTTAAGAAATGATTTACATCTAAGACAGCAAACATTACATTTTTGTTTAAATTACACAATTAAAAAAATAATTAAGTTGATGTGATTGTTAACCCTTGTCCTACAGATTTTATATTAACACTTTCCTTGTGTCCTATCATACTGCTAGCTCTGGATAGGACATATGACAGTGTATGATACTTTTTCATCATTTAGATTAGCTGTCAATATAAAGAAATATATTTCTGGAATGTTTTGAACTTTTAAACTTCATTTAAATTTGTAGTGCATATTAAGTGTATACTTCCTTGTATATGGGACTATCTAATACACTGTATTAATTTGCTTAGCCATGTAGTTGTAATCATAATGTGTTCATATGTTGAACCTATACACTGTATGATTGTTTTATAACCAAACAAGCATCAAGTAATCAAATGCAGTGTAGGCTCACTTTCTTGGTTAACCTTTTTCCTTTGAAGCCTAATGTAAATACTTAATATAACATATCCTTGCTGCATGCCAGTTGAAGGGTTTCGTGGTGATTTGAAATCCTGCGTGATGACAAGTTTCTCCCCACTAACTCGTGGTCATTTCCATGCATCTTCCAACCTGCAGATGATTAGCAGTCTCGTGTGTTGTTGTGAAAGGCAAGTCCGTAGTCCACTTTTGGTAAAAATGCTTTGTGATGGAAGTGGACTGCAGTGAATGAGATCGTATAAATGTTTACTTCTTTTGCATTGTGTGTAAATGGCTCTCTTCTTCTCCTTATCACTTAATATCAGTTTTGATCTGGAAATTTAAAAAAAGAAAAAAAAAAATCAGTGCTATGGAGTTACTACTTTGCTTTCTTTCGACAACCTCAAGCGTCTGCCGTCAGTCAGTTACAGATCAATCATCTGTGATATCAATTCAGGTGTAATATATGTCCATATTTTAAAAAATCATAAAAAAAGAATAAAACAAAAAAGTAAAACATTAAAAAAAAGACCGAAGGGTCACCAAGAAAAATTAAGGTGATGCGACCAAAATACTAGCTTTTGATGTTGGTACTGTGAAATGACCACAAATGTGTTTACTGTAAACTAAATACCATTGATATTTTAGAATGTAAGCAAGGTGTGTGTGTGTGTGTGTGCAGATATATGACATACACGCACATATATATATATATATATATATATATATATATATATATATATATATATATATATATATATATATATATATATATGTATATATATATATGTATATATGTATATAGATATATATATAGATAGATATATATATGTACTATATATACAAATATTGAATATCAGTATATAAACTAGCTGAAACATTTAACCAAGGTCATGTATATTTCAGTTCTTGCAAGAAGGCTCTGATTCTGTGGAAGCCTGTTGAAACATGGTGTAGGTTACCATGTTTTGCTTGAAAGACTTTCCAAATTATCTTGCATTACAGTTTTTAGGTACAAAGTTGGTGCTGAATACTTTCAAATTAGTGATGCCAAATTTAGTGATTTTCACATGATAGTCTTAATCATGCCATTAAATGGCTTCAGCTGTTAAATGCCCACTATGACTGGATACTTTACATCTGACCTTCTGTGTTAGATTACAAGAGAAACTTCACACCTTCCTTAGAACTGGATATCATTCCAGTTTTCTATTATATTGTTGTTTGCATACTTTACACTCAATGTCTACATTACTGTTACTAAAAAATATGTATATATGAGCATTATTTTTGTATTGCTTTCACTTCTTCAGAGCCTCTTGAAAACTACAACTTAATGTGTAGCTTCTAATAAGCCAACACAGATGGATTAGCTTCTTCTAAATAATCCACTTTTATTTTATCTTTCAGTATTGCAAAGAGAGTGAACTATCTAGTTTGAACCTTATTGTAACTGGGGTACATACTGGTTGGAAGGTGTTAATGAAGATTAAGTGGAAGAAGTTTGGTAGGAAATGTTAGTGAACCCCAGATCTTTTTAAAATAAATCTTCCTGATTTTTTACTATTGATACTAGGTTAGCTAGCCTGTACATTAGTTTATGCAAAATTAGTTGTCACAATTTTATCTGAATCTGCAATGTTTATTGGAAGACAACAGTTACTCCCTGGGTACAGGACTTGTACATCGTATTTAAATAAATGAATTAGAATACCAGTTCATAAGTACTTTTTATTTCCTCTGTAAAGAAAGGATTGCCCTATTTCAGAATCATATAGACAGAATTTCCATTTGTTGTCGCCACTACTGAAATATTCATCACTATATAGGTTCATTTGGGTAAACAAAAAGAACCACTAGCACTCTTACATTGTTTTATATTTTTTTACCGGTGAAACATTATTAAAAAAAACTATGTAAAAAATAGCATGTGACTATAAAGAAGGGGTGTGATTATACCTGTCTACATGTACATATGTGCATGTTTGTGTGTACAAATAAAAATATCATATTGTTGAATCTGTCTTCATTTAAAAACATCCAACCACACAATTTGTATCTATAATTGTGAAATAACAAAATACCTTAATCCAAAATTTCAGCCATATGTATACATATCAAGAATGAGATGATATTATTATCATATTTAATTTAAGGAGATGCTAGGGTTCCTTAAAGTGAATGGAAATAATAGACGCCTCATTCCACTGTTGCTCTAAATGTGATAGAACACCTGTTGTCTTCTGTCAATATTGACAAATCAACTATTTAATGTTCACCTATTATAAAACTGCAGCAATACAGAAATTTTCAATGAAACATTAGCACTCCAAGGATTATTTTACAAGTAATGAACTCATTGAAAGGCAGGCTGGTTAATCTGACAGCATTAAAATTAAATTCTTTGCATTTCTCATAGATCATAATTTCATATATTTATTCTCTTAATTTGCTGGGAATTGCAAAATATTACTGCTGCTTTAAATGTAAAATGCATCGAGATGAGTCACAAGCTGCATGAGCGACATATTCTCTAATGGAATATTTTACCTCAAACTGGTTGATTCAGTGAATTGCAATATGTTATCTCATAAATGGCTCAGTTAAGGTTATATATCTAACTGAAATTCCTTTCATAAGCGTGTTGAAGGATATTAAAAAAAATGAACTAGTCATACACAAAGCTGGTAATTTATTTGGCTAGATCATTCCAGTGTTCGAAAAAATTATAGTGGTGAAGCTTCAGCAGTAACTGTTTTAAAAGCCAGTTATTCAGGTCTATAAGATGTCT